TGTGTAGAAAAATAACCACAACATTTTTATGCAAGAATTCTTTTTTTATGTTGAAGGACACACACTTATTCTTTCATAATAGCTCTAACTATTGCACTGAAGTTTCAAATTGGTATTTCCACACTAATCTGGCTCTTCTTGCTTTCTGTTTCGGGATTGTTTAGTTAACCCCATTAGTATGTTTTAAATCCCAGTTTCATTAACCTTTTTTAAAAAAAAGGCTTGCTTATTTGAGGGCTGGGGAATGTAATTGCATCTGGAGAAGGAGATGAGGCACATACCCACCTCACCCAATTCCTCTGCCATTTGTTGGGGCTCAGAAAATTGAGAGAGAACTCTTTGTTTGATCCTGCAATTTAACAGTTGCTTTGCTGCCTGACAGATGTCTCTGTGTGTGTGCAAACTGTGTGGCCCTGTGCCTGCCAGGTGCCTCTCACTGGTGGCTACTGGGGTGTGGGATGCAGTGCAGAGGGTAGGACATAGAGAGCAGGAGCAGAACGAGAAGAAAAGGGATGGAGAAAATGACTGAGGCAGGTACCAACGGAGTCAGAAAACTGTAAGGCTGAGGGAGCTGAAGACTAGGAGAAATGGAGGGAGCTCAGCTTAAATGATTAAAGGTATGAGGTTTGTATGGCTGTCCTCTAATGCATCTGACATGGTGAAGGTTGGTTCCTCAGGATTAAGATGGTATGTTTCTATGATAACTTGGAATATTCTTCCACCTTTGCCATCTCAGTCCTCAAGGAAGCCTTTCAGGAGGCTTTCCATGCTCTCTGAGTTATTTGAGTAGTGTGTTGTTTAGAAGGTAGAACTGTTTAGCTGAAATTCAGCTTTTCTAAAGGCTTGATTTGCCTGGACTACAGTGAGTTTTCTGGTCTGGCCTGGGCAGCCAGTTCTTTTAGCCTTCCCATTTTGTCTTAATGTTGTATGTTATTACAGGCTTTTTGTGTACATTATGTTTGGAAAGCTTGCTTTGTTGTCATTCAGAAATGAAACATAGCTCCCTCAAAGAACTGGGTCTGTTGGTCCTTTTTGAAGTGTTTTTTTTAAAAAAAAAAAGACAACAACAAATAAACAAGCAAAACAAACCCTCAAGTCCTAACGACAGAAGAGCACAGAAAGAAAAACAAAAAAGCCACACCCCAGCACCAAAAAACACTTAAACCTTTTCAGTCCATATTTTGAGAACAGAAAACTTAAACCATTTTTGTAAGATTGAGTAATGCATAAAGGGGAATGTTTTTCTTGTCCCATGTGTGGGACCACTGCTGTTGGTTTTCCTAATTCCTCCTAAGCCATGCTTTTAGCTACCCTACCAGTAGGCACCTATGTGTATTCTGACTGGTGCTAAACACTGGTTCAAGCTGCATCCATTTTTTCAGAGAGCAGTGTAGGGCTGAGGAATATATTTGTGATCGTGATTTGATGAGGGGAAGAGAATCAGCTGAGAGGGAAATATCTCTGAAGTGGTGAGCAACAGTTTATGCTTCAAAAAATGCATCTTAAATGCACTGGAAAGTTAATCTTGATACACAACACAGTGAGTGCCACTCCAAAATAAGATTAAAAAGCATTTGCTTACCAATGGTCTCCGGTATGATTACATGCTTTCCTATCCTGTGGTGTTCCTGTGGGAAGACAGTAAAAGCTTCACCTTCTGTTTGCCAGAGGGAGATGGGGGCTGAATGACTCTAGTGAAGCCAAAACTACAAGTGAACTTCCCTGGCTGACCTCTGTTTACGCCCTTGATTTTGGTTTCTTTTTAATGTAATGTGTGTGTATAGAACAAGTGCTGTAAGAGTAAAGGAAATATAACCCCTCTGAAACATGCAGAAGCAGTGTACCTGCCTTGAGTCCTGATCAAGAAGCAGAAGCTGCCCCTGTGCCTGATTTGTTGGGAAGTATCCTGTCTGGACAAAGCTTTCTCATGATGAGTAGTTCGGATGTGGTCATCCACAGAGATGGTTCGCTGACAGCGAAGAAGGCAGGTAAGGGCTTGGCACTTTGTAGTGCGTTTCATAGAATGGTTTGGGTTGGAAGGGAGCTCAAAGATCATCTAGTTCCAACCCCCTGCCATGGGCAGGGAAACCCTCCATTACACCGGGTTGCTCAAAGCCTCATCCAACCTGGCCTTGAACACTTACAGGGATGGGGCATCCTCAACTTCTCTGGGCAACCTGTTCCAGTGTTTCATCACTGTCATTGTAAAATATTTCTTCCTTAGATCTAAATCTTCCTTCTTTCCATTTAAATCTGTTGCCCCTTGTCCTTTCATACACACCCTTGTAAAAAGTCCCTCTTCAGCTTTTTTGTAGGCCCCCTTTAGGTACTGGAAGACTGCTATAAGGTCTGCCCAGAGCCTTCTCTTTTCCAGGCTGAACAACCCCAACCCTCTTCATCTCCATCTGCCTGGTCCTACAGACTGCGTAGGGATACTCTTACTGGGCTTTTGAATATGTAGGATAGGTTCAGTAGTTGCCAGCAATAATCCATCTAATAAGATTCTTACATATGCTCTGAAATAGTGTTACCTGTCTCTGTTTTAATTGCAGAGCTGAGATATTACTGGAGGATTTTGGTTTTAATAGATAGTTTTCTTCTTTAAAAAGTAATGCACTGTAGTTTCATGCTTTGTCATAAAAAATGCAGGACTGGATAGAGCAGAGATACCTTAGTACCTGATTCTTCTGGCGTTTGTCATGCATTGTTGCCGTGCCTCTGAACTGTGTTTCAGTTTGAAGAGCAGTGACGAGGACCTTGGCAAGATGTTTCTTTGCAAAAGCAGAGCTGTAGAATACGTGTTCGCATCTTCAGCTTTATCTTCCCTTGGCATGGTATTATTTGGAAAGAATTGCTTCAAATTGAAACTTAGAGTTTTATTCTTAAAATAAGTACCTATAACATCATCTGTTATAGTCAGTTTTCTCAATCAGCAACTACAGGATAATAAACACGAATCTGGTGATACCTACAGAGCAGAATAACATATTTCCTAAATGTTAATGTTTACTTCAAAGATGCAGTTGTCTGGCATTAAACCGTGAGCAGCTGACCAAAAGAACTATTGGATTGCCTTATTACTGTGTGGTATGTCTGCAAACCAAAGTGGAACTTGAAATAATTAGTTCGGAACTTCTTTTAATGTTGGGGGAAAATGTCCAGGTACATACTGAAAAGCCTAATTGTTTGTTTGTATGCCATAGCTCCACTCCATAGAAAATCAGTGAATGACTCGAGAGTGGATGATGGTTCAGGACATAACACTCAACCAAGTACAGTGCACTCAGGGACCACAGCAAGCAGCTCCATTGCTGGACCTTCAGTTTCCTCGGGGCTGAGTACTCTCACCAGACTCTCCTCCTCAACCTTGTTTTCATCACCTTCACCCTCACTGAGCAGCATTGAGCCTGCAGCAAACCCAGCACAGACTACATCAGAAAAAGCAGCTGTAAAATCAGAATATTCGATGACACCCAGGTCTGTTCAGACTCAGAATATAGCTACTCTGAGCAGGCGTGGCTCCAAGTTAGATGAAATGCCCAGATTTAATGGAAACTCTAAAAACTTTGTGCCCACTGACTCGTCTTCAAAGCCCCTGAGCTGTAACTTGAATTCTGGCTCAAAAGCTGTAACTGTGAGGCAGCCATTAAAACCACCTCCCAGGAGAATTGACATCTTTGAGCTTCCCAGGATACCAAAGATTAAAAAGGAGACCAGCAGCAAGCAGGTGGAGCCAGAACCTGTAGGAAGCCAAAGTTGTGACATCCCCAGCTCCTGTATCACCCAGCTGACTGGCAAAGAGGGCACTAGTCAGCTGGGAAAGGGTGGCAAGATGGAAAGTCAGAAGTCAAATGCCAAGGAATCTCAGCAACAAACACGTACAAGTGGGGCGTCTTTTTCTACCAGTACAGGCATGTATAGCAGTTCATCACTACTGGGCACTTCGAGGGGCAAAGGCCCAAGCTCTTTCGAGAGTTTTAAAATCAACATTCCTGGAAACGCAGGGCATCCCAGCAGACTGTCTAACCCAGGATTTTGTAACACCTTCCGCCCTGTGGATGACAAAGTGCAACAGAAAGAGAGTCCTTCACCTCTTTTCTCAGTTAAGAAAAAGCAGGTCAAAAGTGAAATATATGATCCCTTTGAGCCAACAGGGTCAGACTCGAGTTCAGCAAGCAGCAGTCCTGAAAGGCTTGGCTCAGGGATCCCGCTAACTAATATTACCAGGACTATTTCCATTGAAAATCCCAAAGTTCAGACTTTTCAAACTGTCCGTCGTTTCACCCCTTACATGGTAGACAATATATTTCGATCTGAGACTGACTCTGATGTGCCATCTAGTAAGACAGAGTCTCGTGATGACGTGATGGTAAAAAGCAGGATTGTGGAACAGATCTCTGATACAGAGGAACGAGACAATGTGGATGAGGAGGACTTTCTAAGCAGTCCTTGCACGTCATCTGCTGTTAAACAAGTTTCTAATGCAGAATGTTTAAAGGAGGAAAGCAGAGAGGGCCCTAATGTGTTCTTTAATGCTGAAGAGTTGATTAGACCTAACATTAATGTGAAACTGGAACCAGGTAGTCCCCCAAAGAATGATGGACACCAGAAAGTCCAAAAGGCAGAACAAACAGAGAGGCGATCGCGTTCCAGGTCCTGTTCAAACTCCAGCTCCCGAAGCAAGAAGAAGATGAAAAGGAAAAAGGCACTTGTCAAAGAGCATAAGAGATCCCGATCAGGGTCTAGGGATAGAGCACGCTCAAGGGACCGAAGCTCCAGGTCTGCGTCTTGGTCAGGTGGAGAAGAGCATAGCAAAACACACACATTGAAACCCAAGAGCAGGAGGTCTTCTACTGACCGTTCTAGCAGTCACGAACGATCTAAAAAAAAGAAAATGAAGGATAAAACTAAGGATAAAAAGGCAAAAACTTCTTGGTCTAGGGAGAAAAGGAAATCTAGGTCACGTTCAGGTAGCCCTGGAAGTACTTCTGAGTTTTATGAAAACAGGAAAAAGAAAAGACGATCTCGATCAAGATCAAGACGAAGGGAACGTTCCCGGTCGAATAGCGTTGAGAGGACTAAAAGGCGGAAACACAGGAGAGACAAAAGCTATGAGAGGTATGATAAAGATAGTAGCTTGAGGTCAAGGGACAGAAAGAGATCAAGATCCAGGTCTCGGGAGAGGAGGAAGTGGAGATCTCAGTCTCGGTCTGCATCTCGATCTCGAGAGCACAAAAGCAGCAAATCAAAGGAAAAAAGGCCACGGTCAAGATCACGTTCCAAAGAAAGAAAACACAGATCAAAAGAGACCTCGCTTCCTCCACCAGAAAAGGATCAAAAGCCTCCAGTTGAAAATGTGTCCAGGTGTCTGGAGCAACCCCATTCCTTGAAACAAGAGCAAAAGGAGGAACTAGTACTAGAAGAGCTTTGTATAACCTTCCAACCAAATGTCAAACTTGAGGAAGTAGACACTGAGAGCCCGGTTCAGCTGAGAGAGGCCCAAGAAACTATAAAGGTAGAGCCCATCTCTGAGGAAGCGACCAGTGAAACTGTATTCCCTGTGCCAGAAATGACAAACGTTTGTGTTCCAACTGGCAATGTGGATTCTTTTGCTCAAAGAGAATTAATGAGTAGTAGTGATCCAGCAGTGCTTGGTGGCTGTAGCAATACAAACCTTGAGATTACGGTTAAAATAGAAAATACTGCATTGTGTCCGTCTCTGATGGAACCACCCCCGAAGAAGGAAGTTATCCTGCACCCTCCGACTGAAGCTCCACCAGTTCAAAGCTCTTCCAAAAGGATAATAACAGATTGCCTGAAGGAGGTTAAAGATGAGTGCCTTGTGTCAAATGAGAAAACTGGTCCTTTCAGTAAACCTGAACTGGAGGTGGTACCTCAGGGTCCTGTGCTGAAATCAAAAGCACCAGTGAAAAGAGTCACCTGGAATCTTCAAGAGGAAGAGAGCGGCACATTGTCCACTGGAAAAGCTCCAAGTAAGTCTCTCTTTTGGAAAACAAACAGTGGTTGAAGCAGGCTGTACAAGGTTTAGGGGTTTGGTGCCTGGCTAAACCTGGTTGTAGTGTAACAGCTCTGTCATCTGAGCTGAGGTGATCCTGGGGTTCCCACTCCGGAGAGCTGGCATTTTGCACTTGTTGGAATCAGGAGGTGAGTTGTGTTAATGAATCGGAGAGGATGTGCTGTCAGCACAGATTAGCCAGCCAGCGGTTGCTTGTTCGGCCACGAAGCGCGTATTGCAACCCGATGGCTGAACTGCCAGCCCGCGTTCCGCCCTTTCTGCGGTTACCTAGAATGGTCGGTTTGCCTTCAGAATTTATAAAAGTTTCTCAGTGCTGAGGAGTGTGAGAAATCTCTGTAGCTCGCTCCTGTGAGCTCTGCTAAGCCGAAGCTGCTGGAAGCAGTTTGGCTTGGGACCCTGTGCCTTGTGTGTTGACAGTTGCTTGTGTGGTTCTCATGGGTTACTCTCATGGAAACCCAGTAAAGAGCAGTCGTTCAAGGGGATGATAAATCCTCTATTATCAGAAGCTTTAAAATGTTGATGATTGCTAAACAAAATCCTTTCATACTAACTTTGTTGTTAAATCTTTTTTATTTTAAGTTTTTAAAATGTAGTTGGCTTTGACTCTTTGACCGATTAGGTTTATTTTGTTATTAAATGTTTTCTTTTCCTTCTCTTGGGGAACCTAGGGATGCCGTTATACAAACTTCAGCGAGCAAAAGAAGGAGCCTGGAAAGCAGAGGACTTGAACCAAACATTAAATCAGGTGCAGTTAAATGAGCCTCCTCCAACCAATTACATGATTCCTGAGCCTATGTTTCCTGATCTAGATTCCTCTCAGGTTGGTTCCCTTTCCAGCACCTAAGTGTCATGGAAGGCATCCCACCTCATCTGTGCCCTCGTTGTGCAACACCCTCCTCTCACGGCAGAGTTTGCCTTCCTCTGCGTGTGGTACATTTCATACAGCCCATACACCTCAGCAGTCCTCTAATCATTCAGTCTCTCAGGTGGTCCTTACGGTTAAAGCAGCACATTTTCTTTTAATTCTGTTCTATGCACGCGGCTTCTGTTTTCAGCAGTAACTTGCAGAAAGATAGTGAAGCTGTGAGCTTCTCCATGACTAATCAGGCTATAAAAATTGGCCTGGTGGCATTGATCTGTGCCATCAGTCTCTGCTGTCCCCAGTTAAAAGGTGAGAGGAGCTGGTGCTAGCTCCTGGTGCGCAGAGACCTAGCTGCGGGTTAGGAAGTTAGTCTCCCTGACTCAAACTAGTAACTACTTGCCTGTTTGAGTGGATAAAAGGTGCTCTGAAAATCCTGATCTGATGCTGTCTTGTAAGTACAAGCATTTACAAAATAATATCTGTTTCACAGGTGTACTGTCAAAATATACCATTGACGCCACCTCTGCCCTCCAGCCTGCCCCCCTACGCCCCCGTCAGCCAGCCGACGGTTCAGTTCATCATGCAGGGTAGTCTTCCAGCGCTTGGCTGCATGGCAGGACAGAGCCTGACTCCGGAGCCAGGCAGCCTGGCTACTGCGTCTGAACCAGGAATCCAAGCTGCTTCCGTTGGAGATGCAGAAGAAAAGATCAAAGCACCCAAACCTCCAGTGGATAAAACAAAAAATGAGGAAGTGAGTGAATGCCACCAAGTAGCATATGCGTAACATTAACAAGCTGTTTATTTGGACTTAGAAAGTTGGGAGTTTTTTAACTTTCTCTGTACTGTATTTTCCCAGCCCCTGTTGTCACTGTTGTGTTCGGTGACTGACTCTGCTAACCCAGGAGCGGCAGGCAATCCTTTCTTTGAATTCTTTTGGTATTTACTCCGTTTGATGGTTCAACTTTCTACTGCTTCATTGCAATAAGACAGAGAGGGATTAAAGCATCGAAAATATGTTCTTAAAGTTCTGAAACTTTCTTGCGTGAAGATTTGAAAGGGACTTTCCAGAAGCAAGAATGTCCAAATTTCTCTAAACACCTGGTTTTCTCCTTTCCCTTCCAGCTTTGAAATTAGTGTCAATTCTCATATCAGTCCTGTAGAGAGGGAAGGCTGTATCTTGCTGCTTATCAACACTGAAAATGCAGAGATAGTAAAATACTTTGGAGATTTTGCAATGCTCGTCCCTTGCTGCAGCTTTTGGGTTTGCTGTACTACGCATAGTGGATGTTAACACAAGAACAAAAACTTCTTAGACAATTATTTTACTTTCTACCATAAAACAAAACAGTAAGATACTTTTTCCACTGAACCTGTTTATGAGCAGCAGTCTTCATGAACTTGTTTTGATAGAATACGTTCTGATGTCATCTGTAATCCTTAATTTATAGGCAACTGCAATTTTCAGAATGCCTTTAGAGCTACCTGATATGACTTGCTGCTTTTAGAATCTGATACCTTTTGATGGATGTATGTTTACTTCAGAGCTTTTGGAAAGGAAGGAGGAGACCAAAATTAGTAAGTGGACATAGTAGTCGCTTGACTGAATGAAACACGTTCTCCAAGACATCGATGAAATGTTACATAAAACAAGGATTCTTTGTAGTGCAGACTGGTTTTGTTTCAAGACTGCAGTTTACAGTACAGGAAATCACTTTGAGGTTAGCTCTTACTTGGGTCGTTGAAGTTGTGAAATGAGTATTTTCATTGTTAGAGCATTTCTAAGAAAAATAGATTCAGAAACCATTCCCAAGATAGCACAAGGTAATGAACTTCTCTTTGCAGTACATGAAGAAGCTTCACATGCAGGAAAGGGCTGTGGAAGAAGCAAAACTTGCAATTAAACCTTTTTACCAGAAGAGGGAGATTACAAAGGAAGAGTACAAGAATATTCTTCGAAAAGCAGTACAAAAGGTAAGGTGACAGTGAAATGAAGAGGAGGAGGAGCTGTGCAGATCGTTAAATAAGCAGCAGTACTTTGGATTGCACTTGCCAGCTTCAACAGTTACGTGCTGTAACTGAGTAGCAAATCTTTGGACTCTGACTCATACTCTGCAGTCTTATGATGAGGCAATAGTTGCTCTAAGTAGGACTTGAGTGGTGCCATGGATGAGAGCTGTCATAGTTCCTTTTAGAAGATTGTGTTTTCAGTGATCCTGCCATGGATGAGAGCTGTCATACTGTTCCTTTTAGAAGATTGTGTTTTCAGTGATCCAGAACATTGCTAAGCTTAAGCTGCCTAAGCTGAAATGTTACATGGTATGTGCTTTGGGTGAGTGATCGAATCTCTCTCATTAAAAACCTTGGCCAAAATCGTCAAGCTGTTTCTGAGAAAGTGGCAAAATGCTTTTGTGCATTAATTCCTTCAGCATCTGTAGTGTCTGTGAACTTTGGAAGAGGGACTTGCAATTTGGCTGGTGTTGACTCTTGTCTCAAATCTTAGTGCTGACCAGATCGTGGCTAAAAAAAGACTTGATCAGCAGGTAAATGTTGTCTTGTGAGAGCAAGTGATGCTCTTGTGGTCAAGGCAGATAAATGATACCTCAGAGAACTGTATTCTCTCCCTGCTCTGCATTCTTGGTATCACTGGGAAATTCCATCATAATTGAAATTCCTGAGATAATGGCTGCAATTTCACATCCTCTACGTGACCCATATGAACCTCAGGTGTAGTCTGTAGGAGAGGTGAGCAACACCAGTTGCTGCTTAAGTCAATGTGAACACTGATATCAAAGTGCTTTGTAGGGTCCGTTCTCTTTCTCCTACATTTCAAAATGGGCCCTCAAAACTGCTGGATTCCTTTAATCTGAGCATCACTTCCTCAAAATCATCAGAAAATGGGAAATCAACACTTCCTTCGTTACCATGTGTTGTGTAAAACTGGCTGGACAGAAAAGTCTGTAGTAAAAATGAATAATTCTGCTTTTGGAGATGCTTCTGCATTCAGTTGGTGCTAGGTAGATAAGCTCTGGGCCATTTCTAGAGTGCTTGAAGTAAAATACTACTTTTATCCTTGTTGAGTTTTCCACTTTATGTATCCCACTATGAGACTCAAGGGCCTGTGCAGGAATGGATTCCCCTGGGAAGCTCAGGGCCTCTCTGTTACGTGTCTGTTGCCTGGACTGCTATAGTGCTGTTAATTGACCAAATGCCTCTTCTCATCCTTTGTAGATCTGCCACAGCAAAAGCGGAGAGATCAACCCTATGAAGGTGGCTAATCTGGTGAAGGCGTACGTGGAAAAATACAAACACATGAGGAAACATAAGAAATCTGATGGTGAAGATACACGTGAAGTGGAAAATTGAGAGCAAGCCCCAGTCAGCATGACTCGGGCTGAACTTACGCTGGCTGCGAACACTCTGCCAGAGGGAATAATGGGAATAACAGATCTGCAGTCCCATCTCGTTGAAAATAAAGCGCAGTGAAGCAAGATGATAATAGGACTTATCTATGGAACTTCTTTTGAATTGTTTCCATATGGGAATGAACTTGGGGTTTTTTTTGATTACCTACAGATGTAGAACTAAATAACAATCAAATGCCTCAGACCAGCAGAGTAATTCGAGGGGGAACACAGAAGAGATTAATGTTTGAGACTCCCGGATTGCTACAGTTTTCAGGGTTACTTTGATCACATTTTCGGGCTGTGCACCTGTCTTGCTAAAAGTTTGAAACTGGACACCACTTTTCATATACAGTACATTGAGAGCTGTATACTGTTCCCCTTGTGTTTATTTATCAAAATATGGATTGTCTTTAGAAACTTCTGATTTAATACTTGAAATGTTGTATTTTTAGCCCATTCGATGGTGAGCGAAGCTTTACTTGCTCTGTCATTTGGGGATTGCAGAAATGAGCTAACCTTTATAAACTGACTTCAGAAACACTGCTCAAGCCGTGGTGTTTATTTACGTTCTGTTGGAAGTATCTTGTTAGTGAAAAGTTTCGTTTCGGGGTGGGAGACTGTGTTGCACTTCTGTAAATAATGCACTGATGGCTGGTTTTGTGTCTGCCTTTCAGGAAAAAACGAAACAAAAAGCAAGCATTGTGAATTTTCAGTAACAAGCCGGAGGGGTAAGGTCGGACTGTTGTACAAAGCAGAAATGTGACAGAATTTATAAAGTTATTTTGAATGGTTTGAGTTCTATAGCAGGTGTCATTTGTTTGTCTTACAGCTACCTCTTGCCCTGACTGTTCTACATAAACCTGCACACTTGGCTTTTGCATAAGGAATACAGTGTTTGTAGAAGAGGTTTGGGGTTGGATAAGTAATTGTTCCTCCTCCTCTGTAGGAGGACTGGTTTTCCTATCAAGAAAAGTCCAGCACACGCACTGACTTCACCTGGCTCTCTTTGAAAGCACTCCTTGTCCACATGTACTGCATGAAATACAGTCACAGATATATCCAGCACCCTTGAACCTGACAAAAAGCACCATTTCCCATCGGACTGTGCTAGGGAGAAGACATTTAACAGGGAAGCTGTAGAGAAAACCAGTAAGTTACAACTTAGAAACTGGCTTTCTCTTCAACAGAAGGTGAGTGTATGTGGCCTGTTGGGCCAGATGGCAGCAACACATCTTACGTGAGGGCTTTCCAGACTTCTTAAAGTGGACTTGGAAACTGCCCTCTTCGAGGACAGTCTTGCTGCTTGTCTTCAAAGAGAAAACAGGTTGTCTGGGATGAGTTTTAGAAAGTGAATAACTGCAGATCTTATTTTTCTTTTCCTGGTGAGCATAGGAAAGCTCACAAATAGCAAGACCTTTGATCCCTTGCTGGCATTCCTAAGTTTTCAGTGAACTCTGACTTCCATCGTAAGATTTTTGTCTGCATACTGTAATTTTGGCTGTGGTTCCAAGTAGCTGGATGTTTTGTGGACTTTTTATTTATTTTTATTTTATTTAAACAAAACAAGCCTATATACCAGTACTGTCTGGACTGGCAAAACACTTGACTCCCATTATTCACCATCCTACAGAAGTGTTTACGGATGAGCCCTGAGCATTTTGGAGTTGATCTTCCTTGGCTCTGTTTGCTTCCTGTATAAAAGTGCAGCCTGAATGGAGCATAAGGTGTTGATTCTTTGAAGTTTTTGGAACAAAGGCTCGCTAAGACTGCAAAAGAATAGCTGAAATTTAGTATTAAAGCTAAACTTGTAGCTAGAATATCTGTCTAGGAGATGGGTGTGGGGTTGTAAATACCAATACTGCTGATAGATTCCTTGACGAAATTAAGTTCGGGAACTTTATGGTACTGTTGGTACAGGAATGGGAGAACACGATCTAGTTGTGAATACACTTAGGCTGGAAATTGGACCCCTTTGGATTCTGGAATAACCTGCCTGCAGGACTGAAAAAGGGTAGGTGGTGTGAAAAACAATGTTTGATCAGATAATAGAAGCAACCACACAGTTGCCCAGGAAGATGACGTCAATCTGTTTTGTTTCTCGGGCTGATTTACTGCCTTAAATTCCTGATTGGTGTTGGCCTTGAATTAGCAGTAAAGATAACAGTCTGTCGTGAGCTGTGTTAGAAGTCCTTACAGCACATGTGCTCCTAAATTTCTGTTACCTCTACACCTGCCACTGCCTGCAGGAGCAATGCAGCTGAAAACTGTCTCATCTTCCGCATGTGCTTTTCCCTGTAGTTGTGTAACAACCACCCTGGTTCATTCTGTCTACTGTTAAAAATCAGTCCATCCAGTTGTAAGCTGCCCCTTGGGAGAAGCAATGAGAAACACCTAAAAATGCCTCTTCTGGCACGTTCTACAAAACAGATTTTCTAGTATACTGTGTACACTATTTGCTTTTTTTTCCTTTTTTTTTTTCTTTCTTCCTGGTCAACCCTCTTGGATCAGATGCTGCCACCAGTTTAAGGGAAGAAATCTTTCTTATTCAAAATGTACAGTAGTTTGGTAGTAGCGTAACCTCTTGTTAGTGTCCTTTCCCTCCTCTGCAACAGAGGTAACACCAAAAGCTCATTTAGCAAAGGCAGAGACGCTGCTGTAAGAAGTTGACTCCAGGGCTGCTCTGCCACCATCTTTGTCTCGTAGGTGGCCTCCCCATCTGCTTTCGGGACATACCATGGCCCTGGTATCTGGCCAGAGGTGCTTGGGTTGTTAGGAGCTGCTCTGAGGACGGATGGAGAAAGAGAGGGTGGGGTTCCCAGGCAGAGCTCAGGGAGGCGGGGAGCGGAATGAGAGGAGGAAGCGAAAGGGGAGGCTGAGCGAGCAGGAGGATCCAGCTGGTGCCACGCTGCAGGGCCATGGCCCAGCCCAGAGCCTGTGAGTAGCTGCTCTGGTCCAGAGCGGTGGTGGGAGCCCTTTGGCTTGTCTCTCTGATAGCGCTGGTGGAGAGACTGGGCACTTGGGAGAGGGCGAGAGCTTGTGTTCCTGCTGGGCTCGTTGCACATCCTAGGTTTAGGTGGTGATGCTGAGAACCGACGCAGAGTCGGTCCTGAGCAGGGTGCCTTGCGCAAGGGGATGTGCACTCAGCATCATCCGATGAGGAAGTGAAACGAGGGAGAGGAAAGCAAATCTTGACCATGTTTTGTTCTAGCATCGTGCAGTCCCCATCCCACATCCCGCTGGCGCTCTTCTCACTTGCAAACCTCTCTGCTCTGAACGCCCTCCTTTTGGGAATGTTCTCAGCCATCACTGAGCCTCTTCACGTGCGCCGGGTCCTGCGGGGAACCCCACTGTCCCTGCGTTATTTCCCCGGTCTCCCAGGACTGGGAACATCTCTGGGAGGAATTGCAGCGTGCATCTGGCGTGAGGGGAGGATGTGAGAGAGGAAGTGTCTGCACTCACTGGCCCTGGCCTCAACGCATCTTCCCAGCTGTGGTTGGGGGCTGAGGGCAGGCTGGGTGAGTTGTTTGGAGAGCAGCTCTGCTCCTGATGTTGGCTTTGCTCTGCCAGCCCGCTGCGGGGATTAGAAACCTGCTGGTTTCAGGGTAGATGCATGTGTGGCTGGAGCTCTTGCAGTGCTTTGATGAGAGCAAAGCTGTTGATGTGACGCTTGAGCTACAGATCAATATCTGGTGGGCACCGTTTCTTCCTGTGTCTTCAGACCCAGACAAGATCAAGAGGCTTTGTTTCCTCTCTTGAGAGGATACAGGAGCTGCTCAAGCACCAGCTGTGGTCCTGCTGTTCAACCAGCTCCTGTGTTTTGCCTCTACTTTTCTGTGCTGGCCGAAACGATCCCAAAATCGTGCAGGCCTCAAGGGAAAAAATGGTCTGCAACCCAAAGCGTGAAAGTCGCTCTTAACCACCTTCCCTATCCCATCCATCCAGGTCAGGAGCAGGAGGACGCTTTGCGTGAAGTAACTCTCTCTACCCAGCGGCTGCGCGTGCTGCCTCCGGCAGTCCTGAGCAACCCCGCGCTGGAGAGCCTTGACCTCGACAGGAACAAGCTCAGGAGCATCACCGGCATTTCTAAGCTTTGCAACCTGAAGAAGCTGATACTGTCCAAGAACGAGATTGTGGACTTTCCCAATGAAATCCAGAGCCTGGTCTGTTTAGAGAAGCTCGAGCTGAATCAGAACCAAATCCGAGTCATCCCAGAAGGGGTTTTTTCCCATCTCCCCAGGCTTAAACACTTGCGGCTGAACAACAACCGTCTCAGTGCTCTCCCCAGGGACCTGGCAGCATGTCGAGGCAGCCTCCAGTACCTCAACATCTCCAACAACCTGTTCAGGACCTTTCCTCAGCCTGTCCTGCAGCTGACACGCTTACAGGAGTTCCACGTGCAGAATAATGCCTTTCGCCAGCTTCCCGAGGAGCTCTTCCAGGGGCAGGCTCTAAAAATGTTCAAGGCCAATGGGAACCCCCTCCGGAAGCCGCCCAGTGAAGTGTGCGCTGGTGGCATCCAGCAGATCCGGAATTACTTCTGCCAGCTTCGACATGGTTTGGGGCAGGAGGACAAGAGGGTCAAGACTATGTTCCTGGGGGCCTCGCTGGCAGGCAAGTCCACTATCTGCAAAAGCCTGAAGCAAGGGCAAACCAAACTGGTGCCCAAGGAAGAGCGAACAGTTGGGATAGAGATCAGCGAGTTCCAGATCGAGGACTTCACCTTTCTCTTCTGGGACTTCGCTGGGCAGCTGGAGTACTACATGACTCACCATGTGTTCATCACCCCACAGGCGCTTGTCATACTCGTCATCAATCTCCACATGTAAGTGCTGAGCTGGTCTGGTTTCAAAGTGGAGTGGGAGAATAAAGGGGATGGGGAAGTTTTCCCATGCACAGGTTCACACCATTTCCAGTGGACCTCGATGCTTGGTCTTCTCACTGCTGGAGTAGCTAGCTCTCCCTCTCCCCCTTTCTGCAGATCACTCTTCTAGTTAAGCCACTAGATCTGTCATCACAGATCTAACATCAGAGTCCTCTGTTCCGAGGAGTTAGATGAGCATTAAATGCTTATGTGACAATTGATGCCCATCTAAATGGCTTTGCTTTCTGCCCTGGAAGTACCTCTGCGAGCCCTTCTGTATCTTGTGGTGCTCCCTGAACGTGGAGGTGGCATCAGGCTTGGGCTTTGCAGTACAGAGGGATGCTCCCAGCCCCAGCAGGCATGGACTCTGCTACCCCATAGCTTTAACTGGCTTAGCTTAAGGATGGGAAACTTAAGGATGAGCTTGGATACGGCACATGATCTTAGGAGATCTGAGCTCTTCTCCAGCAAGCCCCTGGGACAGCACAGGGTGCATGGT